GAGTTATTAAATTTTACAAAACAAACATTTTTAGAACTTTATGTTACAGTTTTATACGTAAGTATAAAACTGTAACATAAAGTTGTAAAGGTCACAAAGCATATGAATTGGTTGAATGAATTTAAAAGAGGGAAAACACTTCTAACGGAAGGAGAGGCTTGTAATGCGACGCTGTGGCAACGAATGAAAAAGTCTCTGAATGTATGAATCAGTCATTTGTAGTTGTATAGGATGTTACAAATTTTGTTTCTTCTTTACTTAATTAGTTTGTTTGAAAAAAAAAATTAATTATGTATTTCTTTTAACGTTAATATTTTTTTATGATTATTGGTAAGTAGCGTTAAACGTGTTTTCATTTATTGTCGCGGTTGTAACGGCACGCTGTATAACTGGGCTGCAAGAATAACAGGTCTCTAAAAATTCTAAAGACCCATAAATATGACTTAGTAATACGTATACTCTATGCACAATATTTATTGTAAATTAAAAAAGAAGAACTTAAAAAAATACTTAACTTTTAACCACAAAAAGTAAATAGTTTACTATAAACAAAAAAACTTTTTGTCGGTATAGCTTCATTAAGACTACGTGACTTAACGTTGAGCATTTTTACATCTATTCTTCAACTCGTGTATGGAGCGGGAAAGCATTGTCTAATAAATCTCCCTAGCTTGTTTTTGTTATTTGGCCCATTTATACTGGTAATACAGACATCTTGAATTTAAATCCATCAAATATATATTATGGGGCCATGCATTATTGTTCATAAAAACGAAACTTGCGCATGTATTCACAAAGAAAGGATCAGCAAGCTAATTTTTAAGTCATTAAGTATCACATTAAATAAAACTAGTTTATTTTATTATTGTTAATTATTATTAGATTAATTTATCCGTAAACTAGTTTCATTTAATATTTATAATATTCTCATAAAATCAGGAAGTTAATATCATTAAGTATCACTTTGGCACTCTTAGAAGATATTAGAGCTCACACCTTTATTGATCCCCCACTGAATGAATACCGTTCTCCGTATTTTTCTTCTAATCTTTTAAGTTCTAATCGATATGTTATGGAATCAAAGATCACGAGAAGAAAGAGGGTGATAAACACGGTAAAGCTGATACTATTGTTGATTAACTGTGTACTGTGGATGTCAGAAACTTGATATTTTTTGAGAAATTATCGTTTACTTCGAAGAAGATATGATAGTTTATTGTCCGGGCGCTCGATTTTAATTCAATATACTCGAGCAACCTGAGTTCGATCCGCGGTGCCGGCACCAATTAAATTGTTAATTTTAAGTGCTGACTTATCACATGCTTATTGGTGAAGGAGAACATCGTGGAAAACTTGCATATTTTCGATATAATAGCAAAAATAAAAGTATCGAAGTTTTTTAAAATCCGCCAATCCGTGGTGGAGCCGCGTGGTGGACTATGCCCAAATACCCTCTGTACAGAGCAGGTCTTTGTCCAGCAGTGGGACATATGTAGGCTGTTACTTTACTTTTTTTTTCGGAGAAACCTATTAATATATTTTTAGTTCCATCACTTAGAAGTTCATAGAAGGGATCGACGCTTTTATGAACATCTTATATTTTTTTTTCTAAATTATAATAATTTATATTTTGCCTTTGGACTAAGGATGTAAAATTGGAGACATAACTTTTCAATGAAATTTTTTTTCCGAAATGCATTGGCATTAAATTACTGTTATGTGTCTCACTCCTGAAAGATCATTTAGTAACTCGCTTGACGCCGTTGTTAAGCTTCTGGATTTGGTGACCGGTCGTGGGTTCCATTCCCAATTCTCACACAGAGGGTTGTGTGTATGTAAATTTAACTTAGATATTGAAAAATTACCTTTTAAAATGGAAATTTCACAATTATCCTTATTTTAATACGGATTATACGTAATTTTTTTATCTCTCATTCTCCGCTTGTTTTGTGGTTCAATGGGAGCTAAGCATCTGTTACAAAACGTAAAGTGCGTGCGTATGCGTTATTTTCTCATGTGCGTTACAATGGTCGGATATATTGAGGTTTTGCCGCGAATAAATCTAATTTTTTCAACAGACAATAGGGCGAATGCCGGGGTTATCAGACGTAATCAATGCAACGTTGAGTTTTGAGTGGACCTTCCACTTTTTTGATACATTTTTAAAAGTTCAGTTTTACAATTAGCTGTTTTAACTGTTAATAACGAGATAATCTTACTAACTGATGATATACTGGAGTGAGTGTTTAATGTCGTTATGTAAAAACAGAAAACGAAATTAAATATAAAAGGTTGTTAACTTTTTAATTGTGGTAGATCCACGTAGCAGCCTCTGCTATTGCGTGGATTTATCGTTAGGAGAAGCACAGACTCACAAAAGAGCGACATGAAACGAAGTATTAATTATCTTTGCCATTTGTCAGGTCAGCCCCGTTCTAGATGGCACTCTGTTAAATCGGATGTTGTGGGTGTCACTGGTCAGTAATCACTTAACATAGGTGAACCGCCCCCTCAAATGCGCCACCTTTTTCCAACAATTAAACTTTCAATAATCAGATTTTTATGTAGACCATTTTGTGTAGTATTGTAGTAGAATAATATATAGCCCTTCAAGCTTATACTTCAATCTACGGTCGGATGTGTGTTTTATTCCACCTAACCAGCCCTTAAAATTTACTTGGAATTTTGGCATCCCGTCCATATTAATTTTTCTATAGGTTTCAACTCGCATATAAGGTTATGTCAGACAATGCTACTGTTCAGTCGCGATAGGTTACGCGCTGTAGCCTCACTGACCCACATACCAATATTGTGCGAATATTTACATATAAAAAAATAAACTAAAAAATATTTAGAAAAAGCTAATTTTCATTTTAAGCCATACAATGTCTACGGCAAACAAATTCGTGAGCTGAAAGTAAAAAAAAATATTAATTGTGTATTAGGAAGTGTTGAAACATTGAGATGAAAGTTTTAAAATCAAGCTATGTATTCTCGTATCGGTTTTTTGGATAATGATATTATCAAAGTGCGGTGAAAATGAACGTGGGTGTAATAATCGCATTTCTCCTGTGTATCCAAAATCTCATCGGTACTCGTGTGATCATTGTGGAAAATGCACTAAGTGCGTAAGGGATAGTGTTTATATGAAAATCAAAAGCATTTCGGTGCAATAAGGCTTAACTAGTAATTATAAATGCAAGTGTATTAATTAGAACCCCCTCCTGTTGCTCCATTAACAGCATACAATGGTGTACCATGAGTTTAGTTTATAAACTTTACTAAAAGGTTTTTCTGTCTGTACTGCCTTTATAACGGGAAAATCTCATTTATCCATCCATTACATACATACATACATACATAATTAAATCTTCACTATAAATAGTGCGAGTATAATTATTGCAAACTATTTGTTTATTGGTTACTTGAAACTATGACGAATGTTTGTTATTCTATCACACTACACAATTTATTTGCTTGAGCATAATATTTCAAAAAGATTTTAATGAAAAAATGCTTATTTTATGGCATAGGATATATAGGTACATGTGTATATAAAACAATATAAATTATAAATATAATTATTTTTCATATAATTAAATTTTTGTCTAGCATTACGAAGGAAACGAATGTATTACGAAGGAGTTTGTTAAAATAAACATAAATAACCCGATAAATAAAAAAAATATTTGTATTAAACATATCGACCCACATTATCGGATGTGCGATCATTTTAGGAAGATCAATGTCATTACGCCATTTTTAATATGGCATTTAATTCTGTTGACAATGTTTATTTAACTTTGGAACGGAACATTATACTCTATACTACAGCATTAACAGTTGTGTAATTTAAATCGTGTTCAAACGGTGCGGTTTTTTCGTTACTTAACGGACTTTTTATAACAGTATTCAGTTAAACTGTTGTTATTGGAATTCTCCAAGGCTACGTTTTTTGCGTAATTCGTATGCATTTGTTTATGAGTCAGTTGATTTTTTAACAATTTTTTTAATGTTTATGTGATGAAGTCGTACCAAACTTTTAAGAAAAGACAATAATAATATAAATGTATAATGTAATGTAACAGCCTATACATGTCCCAATGCTGGGCTGCTCCTGCACCGAGTGTATCAGGGCATAGTCAACCACGCGCTCTCATCTTTCATCTTCGAAATATTTTTTAAATAATAATATGTCGTTGTATTAAAAAAAAATGTTATAAGAAAGTCTTCCCTTCCAGTCAGTATTCCAGATATTTGTTGATGTTAATGTTCATGAAACGAATATTACATTTTTTTGTATGTGAAATGGTGGCAAGTGAGCTCTCAGTTCACCTGATGTTAAGTGATAACCACTGCCCATAGCCATTTGCAACACCCGTAGGGTTGCAGATGCGTTTCCACTTTTAATAAAGTGGGCGTCAGCTACCTCACTTAACAGACGAAACGCAGAAGTATAATAGCAGCGAAGACTGTTGCGTGGCCTTACTATAGTATATATATATACGCTATAATGCACTACCGGCGCCATCCGACTTTCCTTCCGATTACAACGTAGGCGTCTTCAAGGCAAGAGTGAATAGGCTTTTACTGAGCTAGCGCGCTTACCATCAACGGCTGCGGCATGTCAAGTGCTGGCCAGTTTCGAAAACAAAAACAACGTTGCAACAAACGTGTTTAGTGGACTGTATCGGATTATCTGTATTCTATCACAAAAATATCATATGAATTTGTGTTGTACACAAATATCTTCGAAATATGTATTTTATTGCTTTGTTGTTGTAATTTAGTAATAAAATTAGCATAGAATAATTTTGATGGCGGGAGTCGGTTCTAGTTGCAAATATATAACATTTTTAAAGTTTTACCTCTCTCCTATCTACGGTATTTCCTTATCAGTGTCATTCTTTAGACAAATTGTATATATGACACACACATGCACACATATACACACACTGATAGGGAGCTTTAATATATTTGTTTTTTTATTTTTATATCAGCATGCTTCCGTCGGGTTCTGGCCGGGCGGCGCACACTTCGGAGTCATGTCAGAAGGGTTGTAAATTGCGAGCGACTCGAAGATTGTCAGAGAGAGTGTGCGATAGAACGGCGTTTCCACTGCGAAAGCTTCAATTACAGGTAAATTGATAAATGCAATTATTTCAAGGAATTTATCGTGGAATTTTTTTTACTGATGCGAGCTGATATTTGAGCACATCGAGTTCATATTTAACATAAGAGTTTATTTAATGATAACTATGTTATCGATTGCTACTCATGAGTTGTTCTTTACTCAATTTATTAATACCTAGGGAGACATATAATATGAAGTGATATATTGTACTTTATATTTTAACAATTCACTGGTATCCTTAAAGTTATTTTTGTTTTGGATTTTTTACAATTTAATTGTATTATTTTCCACCTCTTTCCTGCCATCCATGGCGTGAACAATAATAAACTTTTATGATCATATTTTTAATGTGGTAACTCTCCCACGATGTGTTCGCACAATTGTTGTCGGTTTCCTGATCTGGAGGCTCTTTGGCGACCTTAATTTTGAGTAAAATGATTTTTAATTGACCCTTAAAATATGATCTCTGAACTTTACTGCAAACCATACATATTTTCGTAAGTGAAAAATAAACGTTTTTTTTTTATGTGAAAAGTTGCCAAGCGAGCAGGCGGTTCACCTGATGTTAAGTGAATACCGCCGCCCATGGACATCTGCTACATCCGAGGGTTGCAGATGCGTTGACAACCTTTAGAAAATTGGGCTCGAATAATTAAATGTCGCAAGGAATGCAATATTGGTGACAAGTACTCAAACTAAGGCATCAAATCAAATCTTTCATACAGCCTATTTCTTCCTTCCAAATTTTATCCCATTTAAGTGGGGTCGGCACAATCGTGTTAATAAAATTATTCTAGAAGAGGTCCTATTCCTACCTCAAAGAGCGGCAACACAGTTGTGGCTCTTCTAATGTTGCAAGTGACCATGGGCGGCGGTAATCATTTACTATCAGGTAACCTTGACGCTTGCCTCCGTTTCCATAAAAAAAGTTTTTTTTGCAACCGTTCGCCTACCTGACATCAACCCTCCTTGGAATAAACACCGATATCACGAACAATTATCTGTGGCTAACATCTAATCGGCTACTTTTCTACTGTGGAAATCGAACCCACGACACCCAGCGCCGAAGCCAGCTCAGCGACACGACCGCTCATGACGCAGCGGCGCAGTTGCCGGCGCCGCTAAGTCGTGTGTAATATTAAGGCTAATATTATAAAGGCGAAAGTTTGTATGTATGGATGGATGTTTGTTACTCTTTCACGCAAAAATTACTGAATGGATTTTAATGAAACTTTACAATAATATAGCTTATAAATCAGAATAACACATAGACTATAATTTATATACATATTTTATGTATATATCCAGAGCCGTGATAACTCAGTGTCCGGGCGCTCGCCTTTAATTCAATATATACTCGAGCAACCTGAGTTCGATCCCCGATGCCGGCACCAATGAAGTTTTTAACTTTAAATGCTGAATTATCACGTACTCCGCGGTGAAGGAAAACATCGTGAGGAAACCTGCATATTTTCGAAATAATAACAAAAAAATGTATTTCGAAAATATGTGAAGTCCGCCAATCCTTCTTTTAATTTATATCTGTCTTTCTGTCTGAATTTTATGCCTTCAGCCTATTCTAAGCAGACATATTCGCGGGCAGCAGCCAGTGTTAATCATTACGGCTGTCCTTAACTGATGACGGGTCAAGTGATGTGTATTTGATACACGAATAAGGCATAAGGCCACCGATAGAGATGTACTTACCGCGACCGGTCGGCCTCGTCACAATCGCAATCAGCACTAAACATCTGCATTGTTGTCGTACGTACCTGCCCGTTGCTGCGTCACCTTGCGTTTGCGTCTAGCAGGGCCGGATTAGGGTAAATATTATGTCTATGAATTAAAAACGGCCCTTAATCAGTCAGGTCAAGAAGTTAATTACGGACTGAACAATTGAGAATGTCATGGAGCATAGATGCGGAGTGTAAGAGAAAAGGACATATTAAATAATTTGAAATGTTCATAATTTGTTCGAAATATAAGCAAAGTGTAAAAAAATTGTTAAATCACCAGAACAGGGTTAGGGGAACAGTTTAAAATCGTTATTAAAACAGTAATGTTAAAAATTTACTGATTTATTGATTTTAATAGATGGTAAGTTAATGTTTTTACAGTGATAATTATGCTAAGCTATGATCTCAGGCAATCTGTGTTTTTTTTTTATTTCTGTGCAGTAAAAGAATTTTAAAATGCTTAGGATATACAGTACATTTAAACTTCCAAATATTATATGAAATTATTGAAAAAAGGTACGTTATATAAAAATGTATGAAATAGTAGACAGTGTATATTTTTTTTACGAAATCTACAGATAATTATAGATGAAGATATGAGATGAATTCTTCGTTACTAGTTTACTTGTAACTATTTATAATATTGTGGAAAGTACTTATATATATATAAGAAAATTATCAATTTTGACATTCAATTTCATTGAAATTCGACCCTGTGTAATAGGTAGTTAGTATAAATACAAATTTGCATAAAGATTAGATAAATCCCCGCGAACAACGTAGCAGTGGCCTAAATATGAATCGGTAGGCGTGTCATACTCAAGGTTTTTATATTTTCCAGTTTCCCATTTCTTTGCATATCACTATTCGTAGGAAATCTCAAATGTTGTTACTCTGTTTATTAAATATTTATTTAATTGTATAATTAATAATTTTAGTAAGTTATTAAATAAGTTATGATAGTATAATTAATAATAGTAGTTATAATTAATATTTTTTTTATATAGTTTATTTAATATTTTGTATTAAAACTTCGATCAAGGTGTCATCTACTCCATTATGGCAAGGTGTGTGATATTTTCTTGTGACTGTTGACACGAAAGCTTCGTAAATCCTTAAATATTGGATAGATAATTTAGTAAGTACGAACCCGTTGAATCCATTCGGCAGAATTTGTTGCGAGCCATGTAAAATTTGTGTTATAACTAAATGGTCAAACCAAAAAAAATTGTGAAACAAACCAAAAAAAGTCCGGAAATATTGTATTTTGTTGTTATTGTTGTGGTATGGCTGATTTTACATATCTTCGAAATACATTAGGATTAGACGCCATGACAACATTTGAAAAAAGTTGTTCCTAATTAAATAACTGGCCAGACCAAATCCGGAAAATTTAATACTTTCAAATACACAAGCTTAAAAGCTTAAAAATTGCGAAAGTTCAGATTGTTTTTTTTTGTTATTGTTTCGAAAAATCTATTTTTTGTATTTTTTCCACACGTGAAAATTGCAATTAATAATTTCATTGATGCTGTCGCCGGCACTTGAACTCAGATTGTTTAAGAACATTGAATTAAAGGCGAGCGCCCGGACACTGAGCTATCACGGCTGACACGGATTTGTAGCGTGCTTGAATTCAACAAACCTAACGTACGGAATTTTCTGAAGATAGGTCGTATGTACAGAAATCTTATTAAAATTTCCCACATAAAAATTACTGCAATATGAGTAGGAAAAAAATTTTGACATCTACTGTGTCTTAATATGCTTATTGTTTAACAACACTGCTATAATAATGTAACAATTTAGTCGGCGTAGGATAATTGTTTTCAGTATTCCTTTTTATTAGATTAATACATGGTAATTGGAAAAAACTTAGCAAACACTTGACAAGTTTACAATGATGAAAAAAGTTTTGATGCTTTATAGTCTTGATAGCAGACACTAATTTCTAAATTTATTGCGTTGACTTCAACGCGACACAATTTGAAAGTGAGTTTTTGAACTAGATCTATAGATTTTATATAACTTCATGAATTCTTCTTTTTATTCTTATATCAATGTAAATGGTCTTTTATGTTAATTCTTCCATAGTAGATGCATTATTATCCAAGCAAATAAAATAATACATTACTTATATATTTTCCCGCAGACTGGATCCATCTTTTCGCGGCAAAGGTCTATGTGAGCTAATGACTAAACCTATAGAAGCTTTTGACATCAGGCGAGATTTTGTTGAGGACAAGGATTACGATTTCTACGAGGTCGATAGAAATAGTTTGGAACCCAATTGCCCGGACACTCTTAGAGGGCCTGGTCTTTTACATTCGGGTTTTTTATCCAATAAGGGGCCTCAGGACGTGGATCGGTGGAAAGACCGAATAGACTGGTACGACCGAAGCTCCCAAACCGAATACGAGAGATATTACAACGAAAGAAGAAGAGCGTTCAATTCAAACAGAAGATATCAAAACCAGGCATTCGTTCCGTACCAAATAGGTGGGGTAATTTTTAAGTATTTTTTAAACATACAAATAAATACCTTAGCTGTAAATTAATACTTCTGGTTCTGTATTTTATAGATCTTGAACAAGAAATATTTATAGTTAAAGTCAAGGAAAGAGACAAATAAAATTGCGGCCGGAGCCACAAAGTACTATAATTAAAATAATACAAAAAACTATGGGTAACATTATAATTTGTCAATTTCACATAAATATTTTATATTTTCATTCCAAAACTGTCATCAATTTTAATTCCTCAGCGAAATCGATACGACGAAGCAAATTCGATAGAAAACGAATGTTTTGTATAGTATTTTTAAATATATATACATATATATATATATATATATATATATATATATATATATGCAATTTATTGCTAAATTTGTGTGACTAACTAAATGATATATACACAAAGAAATACATTTTCCTTTGTGCATAAATCATTTAACGTTTATGGACATTTAACATTTCTTTAGTATTTTTTATGAACTTTAGGTGATGTAAGTCGCAGCGACGAGGATTTGGAAGCCTGGCGTAAGCATGGCGGGTCCTACGGAGGCTACAACTATTACAAGGACAAAAAGGATTATCGCAAATCGATCGACCATTGGCGAATATCCGACGAACGTCACCGCGCCAACTACTACGGAGTCAAATCCCACGGGCTCAATTCCGATTTCAACTACGACAGCTTGGGGAAGAACAATGGATGGGACAACTATGGTTACGGCTATGGGGCGTGGAAGAAGAGTGGATGGAATAGTTCTTGGAACGGATCGGAATATGTGGAGTCGAGCCATTTCAAAGGAGCGAAACCGCCTTTTTACTACGAGTCTGAGGATAGAGCAGATGGACCGCCAGTAAAAGGTAAAAGATAATAATTTTAACCTATTTTAAGTTGATATAAGAGTGAAGATTTATAAAAATTAACAATCATGTACATAATTAACTACCATTTGTAACCAACTTCCAGTCACAGGTCTGCTGGAAAAAATTTCTTAAGAAATGAGCAGGGCATTTGTACAAATTCTTGTTATTCACATTTATGTCATAATTCTCTGTGTACATAACTTTTAAAATAAAATAATACAATCATTTAAAGCGAACAAGTCTATATATTTTTCAAAATATACCAACAGACAAGCTTATACGTTTTTGGACCCGTAATGAGTTGATAGATGCAGATAAATTCTATCCTCTTTTCATCGAGAAAAAACTTCAGCAAAGTAAGCAAAGTATTTGAAGCGAACAAGCTTTTGCTGTAGTAATACTTCTTTTGGCGTGTTAGGAAAAAAAAATCTTTTTAAGTAAAAAATTTTACGATACAGCAACATGATGATGTTGGTTGCAAAGCGACCGTGAACCACCTTAATATAATAACCACGGCACCAGGTAATAACCATGGCAACCAACAACAATTTTGTGCGATTTACCTATTATTTCAAGTGCTTTAATTAGACCATTATCACAAACAAAGAGTACTGGCACAGGGGATAAAATGTATATTTCATTTGTTTCGCTAAAGAAGCATAACTTCTAACGTGCATACATAAGTACAAACATACTTTTTTATTTGTAAAACGATATTTCGGACAATTTTTATTTTAAAGATTGTTCTTCACGTCGCCGTCCCGGGATGTCTCTGGGCTCTGGTGCTATTAGACGATCGTTGTTCGCTCGGAATGTAGTCGAGTGTGAAGCGGCTTGTTTTGGCGAAAAAGAGTTCAAATGCGTGTCGTACAGTTACAAGTAAGTCTCAAGAACAATTCTTAGAATTCTGAAACTTTATTCATACATTTGGCGTTTTGTTAATTTCAATTGAAGTCTTTTTAACCGACTTCAAAAAAGGAAAAGGTTTCTCAATTCGACCGTATATATTTTTATTTTTTTTATGTGTGTTCGGGGATAACTTCGTCATTTATGAACCGATTTGGATGATTATTTTTTTATTAAAACATGTAGAAAAAGCACGAAAAGATTGGCGCCTCTGGGGGAATCGAATCCACGTCTTCGGCATTCGTTTATATATATATATTCGTTTATATATATTCGTTTTAATGTTCAATCTTAAGTGCAAAGATTAGCACTATAAAAAACTTTAAAGATTCTTTCTTTGTTGGAAAAGAGATGTCCCAAGGGTGGTACCATGATAAGGAAACCCAGATCTGATGATGGAATCCCAGAGAAATCGAGGGCAATCCTCAAATGTTTTAGTTGTTGACAATGTTTTTAGTTTCCTGTTTGAAGTCGGTTTTTTTTTTGTTCAAAATTATAACGTATTAACTTATTTCCTTTTCAATTTTGACCACATTCTTAATAATTATAATAACTAATATATACTACACATATGTTACTGAATTAAAAAAAAAATTAAAAGGTACTCAAGCGCTCGTGGTTCTGACAACTGTTTTTTAAGCGAAAGACCGTACCGTGGTTTGGACATGTCTGCAGATAGCGACTCTGACGTGTATGCCATGCCTCAGGATCAGGGCTGTGCTACAATAAGTAGAAAACCTTGGGTGGAGAGCGGTAAGATGAGCCAATCTATATTTATAAAAAATATGCTTATAAACTTCAATTTATTGAATAGTTATCCATATTTATTTAAGAAATTAGACTGTACAAATGTTTTCATTTTCAAAATTTAATGTCTAAATAAATTTTTAAATTTGAATGTATAATATATCCGATAGTGAAGTGTATAAGTTAATTATAAAATCCCTTTATTTTAAGTAACCAATAGTCAGTCGTGCAAGTAAAAGAAAAAAAAAAAAGATCAATGCAATCTGTATATTCAAACGTAATAAAATATACCTTGCATTTGCGTGGTGGTGCCGATAAATGCAGTAAAAAAGAGTCATCAAGTGTAGTTGTTAATGTATAGGCTATGCTTTAACTTTAAAACTTTGCTCATTATAGTACATGTAAAGTCCATAGCAGTCAGTTATTCAAAACTAGCGCGACACGCCCGGGCTTCGCACGGGTGCAATGTATTATACATTTATAAATCTTCCTCTTCAATCACTCTATCTAATAAAAAACAGCACCAAGATCCATTGCGTAGTTTTAAAGATCTAAGCACACATAGGGACAGACAGACAGCGGGACGACTTTGTTTTATACTATGTAGTGATATATGATACAATGAGCGTTGACAACCCTAGAGTGCTTTTGGCACGTGCGCTCCGGCGCGGCGGTTGGCGGCAACGTGGCCCGTGCCTCTCTCAGCGTGACGGGATTGGGCGCGTGCGAGGCGGAGTGCATAAGGGCGCACGCTTTCTTCTGCCGTGGTTTCAGCTTCAGGTACTATTGTTGAGTTTCTATATAAATAAGTGACTTTGATGTGTGTACTCAGTATGAGGTTTGTCTCAGTAGATTTTGACGTCCATAAGAGCTTCACTTTTCGAGAAGGGGGCAAATGTTTGAGTTGCTCATGTAGTAAGTGATTAAAGCCACCTATTGAGATGCAGGCTACAGCCAAACAACAGAAAAAAATGCTTTGAAATTAATTGAAAAATTGGTTGGTTCCCAAGATTACATACGTGGTTCATGAATTGTTACCAAAGATGACTTCTATGGAACAGCTGGGCTAGCTAACAATGTTTAAGATGGCCGAAATGGCTGTCTTACCATTGGATCCGATTTATAGGTAGAAATAAGAGTAACGGTTTAGTTTAGCTGACTAATCACGGGGAGAATGAGGCTGTCTAAATACGGAGAAACTTTAAAAATTCCCTGCAATACGTGAGAGATTTTTCGAAACAACTGTTATTCTAAGGCCTATTGTCTGGTTTTTAACATTTTTTGAAAAAAATATTTTCATTTTATTCTATTACTGTGATCTTTAAATTTAACATTACAGATTCGACTCGCCGACGATTGGCGATGACTTGGAGAATTGCATACTCACATCCTCTCCCCCAACTTCGCTGGAGATCGGGCGTGGACTGCGGCCCACCGCTGGGCACGAGCTCTACGCGCGCGGCAACTACGGCCGAGGCTGTGAACCGGCGCTGTATGACGACGTGCAGAATCGGGAGAGGGGTGTGGATCTATGAATATTTACAAGCGGACAGGAAATCGAACTTGATAAATCTGAATATGTGAAAGTGTTTAGCAACAACATAAGCGGGAGTCTAGCTATATGTAGTTCCCACGCCTGGTGGGCCGCTTGGCCGGCGTAGTTTTTCCGCATCTTTCTTGCCCGTAATGGCCTGAGTAGGGTCTGGCACGATTATCTAAGAATATTTTTTCCACCCAATAAGTAAGAAAAAAAACTTTGAACGTCGCCCAAGACCTGATTGGCAAGACATTGGCATACCTACTTAAATAATTTTGTATACTTATATAATTTCCAAAAAAAAGACAGCAAGACCGCAGAGTTTCTTGCCGGTTCTTCTCTGGACAGGTTTACTTTAGTGAACCGCTGGTAGTTATTAGTAAGTAGGAATTCCGTCTTTGACTTTGATTTGATCTAAAAAGTGTTAGAATGTGTAGTTTGTGTGCACATGTCTTCGACTTTGACTTTGATTGGATCTGAAAGTGTAAGATGTGTAGTGTATGTATACGTGGGTGTTCATACATTTCTCTGCAGAGTGCTACTTGCAATACGACAGCGCTGCCAAGCTAAAGGGTTCAGCAGTACGCGGTCAAGCAAGAGTGAAAGATGAGCAAGAATGCGGCCGCGCCTGCACCGACGCCCCGTTCAGATGCCTGAGTTTCTCTTTCAAGTACGAATTGATATTTGTATATGTTAATTGCCAACGACTTTACTACTAATACTGTTGTATAGAAACACACAAGTTAACAAAGTTTAGCGCTTTATTATTATGGGTGATTGCTACAAGTGATATAAAGTAATTTAGAAAGAAATTTTCTCTCATTTCTTTAGATAACTTTTGATTTTAGAAAAATCCTTTAGATGACTGATTAATTTGTCGCGACATTCGTTTCTGTATAATTGTTTTCTAAATGTTATTCACAACAAAATTACGATTCCATACATGCATAAAGTTAGTTCTTGCCCATATCCGGCGAAGACCTATAATTTTTCGCTATTAATTGCACGCACTGTATGCAATTTAATAAATTTATTCACCGTAAAGTGCAGGTTTGATCTATCTAATTTCTTAGATAAAGAGAAAACATGATTTTCTAGCCTCCTGGCTAAGTACCTAACCTTTTTTCGAGTCATGTTTACAAAACAGTAAACAAGTTCATAGATCATGGATTTCCAGTTATTCAAATCGCGTTCATTTGTTCTTTAAAGAGAGAATAGAATATAATTTAAAATACAAAGCAAATTAATAAAATGTTATTTAGGGGGCATTGTATTTAAATAAAGCTTTTTTAGTAGATATAAATACGAGTAACGATTGGCACGTAACTACAGAAAAAAATAATTGAGCTATACAGAGTTGTTTTCAAAAGATTCCGTGGGTAGTGTGGTTCAAATTCTTAATGCGTCAGCTGTCATTACGCGCTCAGTCAAAAATATGTGGCATGGTAAAAGAATATGTGGCATTGTTCAGAGACAATGTTTATTTTTGTCTGTATTGATTATCTAGGGATTCGGTTAAAAAATAAACGTTAAACCGTTTCTTTTGTGCTATCTACATGCTTATAGCCTACCTTTTGCTACGCACTACGATCAAATACTACTACTACACTTTTTTCAGTAACAACGCTCGCCCCGCCGTAGACAACTGTCTGCTGTCGGAGATCCGCTTGTTTGACCTGCAACGCGGCGTTGACTACGAGCATTCCGTCGACGACTTGCTGTTCGCTTTCGACTTGTTCAACGGGCGGTGTTGGCGCAAGGTGCACGGGAGGCCGGAACACGAGTGAGTACTCATCCACCGATTTAACATAAGTACATCTGAAATTTTCCACACTTACAGTTTATATAGAGAAGGAGTGCAGAATGGTGATATTTAAATTACGCATAAAAATACGTTAAATCAATAAAAAAACATATTGGGTCAGATTCGAACGGTTCGAATCTCGAGCCGTTCGAATCTGACCCACTAGTTATTTATTTTTTTATAATTAGATGAGAACAGAGAAAGACGTTTTAATTTTAGAAATAATCCTTCAGATGACTGATTTATTTGTCGCGACATTCTTTTCTGTAAAAATGTTTTCCAATTTTAGTCACAACGAAATTACGATTAGATACATGTATAAAGTAAGAAAATTAAAAGAACGAACAGACACAATACATGAACCTCCTAAACTAAACTATGACATGTTCGGATTGCCAGTCTGTGGTTCTATGTTCAGCGGTGGACTCTCACAGGCGGAAATGATGATGATGATGACACAATACGAGTTCACAGAGATTTCTATATTACTTAATGGTGTTCAAGAAAGAGCAATATCTAATAAGATTTCGATCACTAATACGTATAATGTAAAGTTTTAGTAAATATCCTTATATTTTTTTTTGTATGTACCACTGCAGGTTAGAGACTTGTTAACCGACTTCAAAAGGAGGAGGTTATTATTTTAAAGGGTATTACACACAGTCCACAACGTTTTCCTTTAGAGGATAAGCAGATTTATGAAATATTTCTTGTTTATAAGTCAATATTAAAATACAGATTGATTAAAATATACAATTGTAATTAACAATTTTAGAGCCCCAAGCTACGAATTGCCTCATCCACTTCCTCCATTGGAGTCAGAATATCCATCATCTGGTCCTAGCAGCTTGGACTTATCGGGCCCGCCAGGTGAGTGACATTTAGATTAATCATGTAAGAATGTCAGATTAATATATTAAAATATAATCAGATTAATTTATAGTTGAAGTCGTATTTTAATATTTTGTTATTAATGTTTTTCCTTATTTTCTAAACGTTTCAATTAATAAATTTCATTATAAATTTCATGTTTGCATTGAAAAGTAAGTCACTCATTTTACCTTCACATTAAGCATTTAGTTTTTAGCAAGTGTTCTTATAAAGTATAATTAACTTGAAAACTCTTTCATATTTCAGAGTCATCTTATCCTGCACCTTCAGGTCCTAGCGGGCCTGACTTTAAACCCGGATATCCGTCTGGACCAGAACCACCCGTATTGAAGCCCAGCTATACAGCTCCATCTGGGCCCACTTTTAAGCCGGGCTACTCGCCGGGATATCCACCGGACACCGCCCCTTCGGGACCAAGCGGTCCCGATTTCAAGCCTGGATATATTCCATCTAGCCCCGGTTACATAGAGCCAAGCAGTCCCAGTTATAAGCCGGGATATCCGGTTTTCGATGTGCCTAGTCGCCCTTATAAGCCTATACCCGTGTCACCTCCGAAGCCCGCTTATAAACCTCCAGGGCCGAGTTACCAGGACCACATTCCATCATCCCCTAGCGTGTCAGGGTATAAACCCGAGTATGGCCCGACTGATCCTGTTCGACCATATCCTTCACTGCCCTCGAAACCTGTTTACAGTCCCGGGCAAAGTAGACCAGGATACGACAGTGACCTAGAAGAGAATGGATCATGTAAGAATTATTATTAATTAGATTTTTAAACATTTACACATCGCTTTATATTTAAGCAAGCATTATAGGTGCTGAATTAATTATCACGTACTCAGCAGTTAAGGAAAACATCGTGAGAAAACCTGCATATTTTCGCAATAATAATAAAAAAAATATTTTAATAGTTGTTATATTTCGAAGTTTTGTGAAGTCCGTCAATCCGCAGTGGGGCCGCGTGTTGAACTATGCCCTCATACCCTCTGTACAGAGGCCTTTGTCCAGCAGCGGAATATGTATTGCCTGATACTTTACTTTTACACTTTCACACTCTTATATAAATGATTGTGATTCTAGTTTGACGAATTTAGACAAACAGCTAGATTCGCGATAGCTTGTATGTAAAATAAACATTACGCCTGAGACTCAACTGACTAAATTGACTAAATTCAAATTCAAATGGACTCATTCAATCTTTATTCAAATAGACGCTTGCGCGTCGAAGTTTGTGAGTTTAGTCTAAGCCCGTTAACCGCCCTAAACGAGGCACTTTCTTCCAGTGACCGCATCGTGGCGGCATTACACCGTGTCGGGATTCCCCTGCCGCAGGGGGACCGCCTGCGCTCAAAACCACGTCGCCGGACATTGGGCGTGTGAGCCCGAGGGCGGCGAGATCGGTACGTTGATTCATTAATGTTTTTTTTTATGTGAAAAGTTGTTAAGCGATCAGGCGATTCACCTGATGTGAATGAAGTGAATGCCAACCTCAACCTCACCTCACTCACCAGACGAAACGCGGAAGTATTATACTTCCACTTTACTTAACCGGACGAGATTGCCCGTTCGTCAACAGCCGAGGCTGCAGCGTAGCCCTAAATAAACCCGTGGTAAATTCGAAAACAAATGGAAAAAAAGATGGACACAGCTGAGTAAAAAAGTCGCTTAAATACTAACCTTTATCGATGTGACGAGGCATGGTTGCTGAAATGGTGAACATAGCCATTACATGCAAAAAACTTACCGTTCGTCGCATAGAGAAATTACCAACTGAGATAAGCCGAAGCGTCGAATGGGTACGATCGGCCGCGCAAAATAAATCGCGATCTTGTCGAAACCGCTTCAAGGGTTAAAGGAACCATAATAATTTAGGATGGTTGATGTCATCTTGTTTATCATTTATATATTAATATTTTTATGTTTATACGTTAAGATAAAAATAAGTTATCAATTTTAGGTTCTTGGGATTACTGTTGTGCGCCAACACACCGCTGTGGCTATAGCGAAGGATTCAGAAAACCTTGGTAAGTAATGGCTCCTACTCAAATAAATAATTAAATACATACCTGATCTCGCGATTTTACTATATTAGCGTCTTTACACCGCTTAAGGGATAGGGAATGCTGCGCATTATTAGCTGTAGACAATACTGCTTACATTGCTATACTTAAAAATACTGCTGTCTTTGTTCTTATACGTACACAAAGCTTTAAAAAAATGAATTTGATCGCAATTTGTCATTTTATTACCAATGTCTGTAAATAGACAGAAACTTTCTAATTTTCTATATCACTATTTATCAAAAATTGGTACCTGTTAGTAATAAAACATAGTGTGAATTCAATTTTAGGTGCTACGTTGGTCCTACACATGAACAATGGCGACCGTGTAGTGAGAAATACTACCCTTACCATAAGCACAACATCCCTCATCCATCTCAAGGCCAAGGAGGTAAATTTCAGTCTTAAATAATCAATTTTGCTCTTGTTTGTGTTTTTTTAATCAATTATTCATTTTGTTTTCCATCTTAAAGTGAGAGTACTTGCATTTGTGTTAGCTACAGTTGCCTCGCTTAGCAGACGGAATGCTAACGTACAAATTCTTCCGTGTTCTCTATAGCCATGGTACATCTGCACTAGTCTGCTCTCTCTCTTCTACCATGGTTAAAAAACCATTTTTATTTACCGAACGTTAATTACTTGCAGCGAAACCACATCGACCTGTGGGTCAGTGGCGGGATAGACTTGATGCTCCTATAAACGGAGAGAGATTGCCCGGACCTTACCTTGCCGACGCCGACAGGAAATATTGGGATGGATTGTACAAAAATGGACCACAGGCGTATTACGACAAGAACGGAAACCCATTGCCAGGTATTTTAATTATGTTTAAGCAAGGCATGGATTTATTTCATAACTTTATGCCCTAGGCTTAACGCGGCTGGTGACAAGAGGGCTGGTTCTTTTCTAGCTCAAAGGTTCAGCATAACTGTTCAGCGAGTAAATGCGATAAATAGACCTAGAGTTCGTAGCATCATGCGGGAACTAAGTTTATTAGATAGTATATAATTTAGGTAATTTAATATTGTAATTATTGGATATATTAAAACATTATTGTTTCTAGGACTAATTTGAGCCACTGAAATTTTCCTATGAACTTATAAGTTTAAAAACTCTGTCGTTAGTGTCAAAGTATTGGACCAATTGCTCAAACTCACTGACCGTTTTTGACCATTTCGTGACCAATTCGGACCAATTTTTTAAAGCTCAAATTTCATTATTCGGGCCACTTATATTAGATGGGTTTAACTTAAACCTAACTAGCCAAAAGGCAAAACTTGTAGGCTTTATCGGTAGCAGGGACCCGAAAATTGTTTAGCCTAGCTGCTATTGCGCATGATGTACCGGCAACGCTATGCAGGTCAAATTGTTGCTCTGAAGCAGGGTGTTTTTATGTCTATAAAATCTTCCATCAGCATTTACTTTTTAATACGGTCTTAAGCAAACTAGCGTACTTCTGTGACATTAGCAATTATTTAGATATTTTTCTATTATACAGCGTGTCGTTACCGGGGTCGTTACGTTATAGGGGATAACTTGTCAAAGTTTTATTAATTATTTAAATTATTTAAACATCAATATTTACAGAGTTGTTAAATTTTCCAAAACAAAGAATTTTAGAACACCCTTACCTATAAAAGCGTAACGTAAAGTTCATTTGTAAAGGTCACAAAGCATATGAATGGGTTGAATGAATTTAAAAGAGACAAAACATACTGTTAGAAGGAGAGGGTTATAATACGACGCTGTGGCGCGAGTTGTATAGGATGTTACAAATTTTGTTTCTTTTTTACTTAATCAGTTTGTTTGAAAAAAAATTTTTTATTATGGATTTTGTTTAACGTTAATATTTTTTTATGATTATTGGCAAGTAGCGTTAGACGTGTGTTCATTTATTGTCGCGATGGTAACGACACGCTGTATACATTATTTGTAATATATAATAGAAAAAATATTTATAATGTTCTTCCCTCTTTTAATTTAATCGCTAAGGAAAAATATTTGAGACATGCGATGATTTTCAATAATATAGTGTCACATAATATTGGCATTGTTTTCACACAATATGAATTAAATAAAATTCTGTCACACTCCATAACCGAAGAATGAAATCTTGAGTCAATGATTGATCTTTGAATTATTTAATTACAGGGTATACTCGCGTGCCCACGAAAGAGAGACCGAGGATAAAATATCGGCATAATCCACCACAGCCTGGTAGTGGAACATGGGTCGCAGTTCCTGAATTGAATGATTTTGGTGATATCCCGGAGCCACTAGGAAGCCCTAGGTAAATAAAAGATGCGTTTAAAAGAGGAGAAGAGAACTTGAAATTTCTGCCTTTTAATATTGATGTACACAATTATCTAGCCCTTAGCGTTCACAGTTGTGATATACACAAAAGGCTGCTATGTGTTTAATTACATCTATTTAGCAATGTACAATTTAACATAGTCAAGTCAATTATATGCTTTAAATTTGCTACTTTTAATATGTAATGGTTCTTCTCAGATACTGGCCGGTTGCTTATCTTCATAAAGGACCCCCTCCGAATATGACATACTTTAGATATAACGAAACAGAAAAGACTTCTTACGATAAAGTTCAATCGCGTGATAATGAAGATTCTGCTGATTTGCCAACAGAAAGTTCAAGGAATGAATTGAAAAAAGTGGATGTTAAGCCCAAAATAACAGATATTGAAGGAAGAAAGATTAAAGATGAACCAAATGATAATAAAACAGAAAATGATGACAATTACTTGAAAATAGACACAGAAACAACTACCACTCCATTAACTACAACCATAGCTATCAGCACTACTTCTTATACAACTCCTACAGCTGAAATTACAATGTCTACTAATACAACCGACACTATTAAAAATGTAACAAGCGGCAATATAACAGAAGTAATAAATCCAGATCAAGAAAAACTTAACGAGGAATTTGAAAGTATCAAAGGAATCGATGGTAAATTAGAAGATTTCTCAAAATCTTTAGAGGTTTTTAACATAGAAGATGTGAGCAAATGCGATAAGTTAGGTAATATTAAAACTTTGGAGGCTGAAGAAAGACAGATAGAAGCAATCGGAAGGCTAGTGGCGTCTAGGCGTGGCGGTAAACTAATGATTGAGAAACGTTCCCAAAAAGAATTGGAGAACAAGAATATTGCTGTCGATAAAGATTTATTAGATTTCAACTTTGGAAATAAATTTCCGACAACGGAGAGGCGTGGTTTTGTACAAAGGGTGAGTAAAGATGAAATAGAAAAAGAAAGATATTCTAATGATAGAAGCTTAGAAGTTAGTGAAACTACTTTCGTAAGGCCCCCTAGAGTTCTAAGTACAACTGAAAACATTCGAAAAGCTGTTGTGAACGGAAAAGTGTTTTACGATGCAATGATAAGAGAACAAAGGGAATTGTTCTCAAATTCTACCAGAAAATCAAAGAGTCTGAAATTAGAGGAAGCAAGAGGTCCTTCAGTTATTTCTAATAATGCACATACTAAAAGAAAGACAATTATGCCACGAAACGTGAACCCTGTAAAAAGGATAAGAAGGGTATTTAAAAAGCGATACAATCCAGAAGAAGTCAGAAAGAGATTATTAGAAAGAGAAAAAAATTTAAAACAGTCAAATAATACTGAAGCAAATAAATATACTAGATAATTATTTTTAATTTAAGATATAAGCAGATTCACGAAATTTTTAGTTATAATAAATGACTTTGTGATTCAGTGCTAATAAGACACAAATATATTTCTTCTTCCCTTGATTCAGTTAATTTTAAAATACTTTTTAGTTTTATTCTTACATTTATTTAATTAAATTTGTGTGAGCAAAACAGGGAAAATATATTTTATTTTATTGTCTTTATATAGTATTTGATAGTTAATTTTAATTTGAAAGGTTTTGGTAAACATATTAAGTGACATCATATTAAAGGATATTTATTGGTGCTTATCAAATTGTCAGTTTGACCTCAATTATCAACTTGTGAGTTGAATTGACGATGCTTCTGAAATATTATAGATTCGCTCAGATATAGTGGTAGTTTTTTTTCATATTCCTACCATTTTCTTTTAAATTTAAGAAAATATGAAGATGCATTTTAATGAATTGAATTTTTGTATTCTAATATGTCTCGAGGTTTAAGAGTCTACTGCTTATGATGTACGAATTTATTTAATAACTTTAAAATATTTAATATTCATTTCTACTTTAGCCTTTTATTATTTTTTATGCTTCTTATATTAAACAGATTTAAGACATTTGGCCGCGTAATAACAGCAAAGAATCTAAGCATGTAAAGAGTATATATTTAAAAAAAAAAGTGTTTGCCATACTGTTTTTACTTCACCACACAAGAACTACTTTCAATAGGTGTTTAGAAGCGAGGCAGGAAATCGGGACAATTTCCTTGGAAACGTACTGCGTGCCGAGAAATATAAACACAACAAATGTTTTAAACAGTGGAACATAATAATTTAAACGCAATAGAAAGTAAACGACGCAATGACTCAGCGACGCGACTTACGCACGTCGTAGTACCAGAGGCCGGCACTCGCATGTTATGTGCAGTTAGCGCATTTCACTTGTGAAAGTGCATCCGCAAACAATACGCGATATGCAAACAATACTCGGTATATTTTCACGTGTTAATTACTAATGTTAGAAGAGGTATAAGACTGTGTGAAACGACTCTACTTACGAACGAATGTAACACGAAGGATATTTTCTTAGAAACAACGTCACGATCTGTTGAGTATAACGCCGTCTTGCATGCAAGAGTAAGCTTGATTGATATTTAAAGCTTTCAAGAAATATTTAAAGATACGATTTGTCTTTAAAGAGGATACGGTTATCACAAATCCTGCATCACTGTTTTATTTACAGTACACCCGAATAATAAATAAAATGTGTAAATTGCAGTTATTTCTTTATTTCATTTAAAAAAAGGTGAAATAATAATAATTAATCAAAATTGGCCGCGGTTAACCACGTTTTTTGAATTTCCATCATAAATTCGATTTACATGTATACTTACAACGAAATATTTTTTCATTGCTTTAATCAATGCGTGCAGTCGTGGTGTAAATGAAAACACTGGTTCCTTCCATTATACCTTATTTTTATTCTTCAAAGAGAAAAAACTACAAAAGCGTACATCCGATGCGGGAGCAAGGAGCAGAGTGAGACAGAGAGAGAGAGAGAGAGAGAGAGAGAGAGAGAAAATATTGCCATGTACAAAAAATAGCTGTAACATTGTTAGTGCTGCCAACACAATGAAAAATATCCTTACCGTTTCTAATGGCGTTGTTGACACGGCCCGCTATAACTTTTTACAATAGCTTACACATTATCGTAATCATCTAAAAACATCACTCTAATCACAATCGTTACATTCACACGCATTCTTGACACACTCATCATTTGGGTCAAAGTAAACTGGTTTGTACTACAACACGGTTTTGATTAATATTTGTTACGATGGTGGTACCATCATGCGATGTATTTGACAGAACTTAGCATGTTTTGTTGTTTCAGTGAAATTTTTGGGGATATACATGATCACTGGTATTGAAAATCAATGCAGTAATAAACATTTATTGTAAATTATAAGATACTAAGTTCTATTTACGTGTAAATTATATTTTTTAGCACAATATTACTTAATATTCACGACTTTCTCTTCTTTACAAGATATCCTTGCATTTAAAAAAAAAAAATTTACGGCTTTTACTGTAAGCCGTGATGAAATCTGTAATTTAGTTTTATAATATTTAAAAATTAATTCAGAAGGTAATAATTCTAATATCCAATAATTAAATGTCCAATCAGTGCAACCACTCATTTTTATATGTTGGCAAGTACTCGTATATGATAATCAAGAATCAAATCTTAACGAGCGGATGATATATAAACAACTCGTGCATTTTAGCAGTAACATCATTATCATAATTTTAATAATAGTAATCATGATGCTAATGTAAAAATGTGTGCCTTACTTAGTTCTTATACGTCATATAAAGAGTTAGTTAAGTCACTGACAGACTTATGCAATAAAATTTCTGAAGATAAATATATCCTTTGCAACAAATTGCAAAAATGCCGTATCAAAACCATCGTCCGCGTTGACCCTGGCGAAAGTTCGCTTTCACTCGTAATCCGTTGGGTAAAAGTGTTATTTGAACAATCTTATAGATGTTATTACAAACTCCGTGGCACTTTCTTCGGCGAGGTCGTTGAACTTTGCACTTGACGGCAAGCTGCAATCGAGACAGCTACTTCCAATCATGAAGACCTACTAGTTCGTTTATTACTTTGTTAGCTTTGTCTCCTCGTAAAATGCACGTTACAAATTTTCTATCTGACACTGTTGATTTGCCTATGATTTTTTTCTTTCATTATTCAGTCAACTACTAGTAGTACTGCCCCACTCTGCTTACAATTTAAGCTTGGACAGAATAGGAATTAAAGAAGAATGCAAAATACTTGAATCAATGTATTTATTGTAAATATATTAAAAACGAAGTTAAAAGCAACAAAGTAAAGTTAGGAACGTACAACTACTGTTACTTAATGCACTACACAATTTTAATTGAAACTAAATGTGTAGTGCATTCGTTAATGTTGGTTTACTGTAAAGGAAGTCAAATATTATTCTCAAACATTTTAAAATATGTTCTGAACATGCAATGTTTGAATAAAATTTTACAATGATCAAAACAATCAATGAAAATCTTATTCAGTATTTCGGTTTGTATCGACTTTAATGAACTGTCGGTGCATAACTGTGCATTTGACCTGTTATTAATCAAGTGTGTTGAGTGGATTGATTCATTTATGTAAATGAGTCATATACCAAACTAGTCTGCCGAATCTGGGCCAAGCGATTTTTTACCTGTCGGTGTGCAAACTTTTAATGCTAGTGCTTTTTTTTCTTCTTCAAGAAAATACATTTTCTTGAATTATTTTTTTTACAATTAAATATTAAATAACTTTTTTTGCTACAGCAAATTTGTCATGTTTTTATTTTCAAGTCGTAAGTGAACAATTGGCTTAATTATACACATCACATCAAGATTATTTTATCTGCGCCTTCTTAATTGTAGCCTCAATACTTCGAGTTGCGAGATTTGGAGAGACTCATCAGGATTTGGAGTTCTAGATATTTCTCGTTCCACTCGATTCGTTCCACCCGATCCCTTATAATGTATATAGAAGTGTTAGTTAGCTCACCCCACCGCTACCCTCATTTTCCATAAATAATAATCAATTTGTATATGGGATATATATATAAATTTTATGTTAGTCACAATCACCAGATGCGTTACAGAATCATCATCATCATCATTTCGGCCTTTTTGTGTCCACTGTTGAACATAGGCCTCCCCCATAGACTGCCACAAAGTACGATCCTGAGCCACCTTTATCTGTCAACTTCCATGACGACTATGTTCACGGAAAATCGAAGCTGGGTGATGTATTCGCCATTGATGTTAATACCACGTCCTTTCCAGTCCAGAAGCTTAAAAACATCTTCCAACGCAGCGGTGAAGAGTTTCGGGGATATGACATCACCTGTCTTACACAGTTACAGAATATCAATTGAAAATTAATATTTCTATTCATAAACGCATAACTAACTCAATTATAAGAAACATTTTTAGACAAATATGTTTGTGTTAGATAATTTAGGATGAGAAAAGTAAATAATTGGTACTAAACGCAAACAAGAGTATGTCAGTTGGCCTCTATTACCGAGCAGTATATGCGTTTCTTTACCCACAATATACGCATCATGAATGTGTAAGACGACACTTCGGGGTCAAACTATGCGAGGTTCTTGGCAATTTCTCTTTGCGTTTAATGCATTATTAAAACATGTGAAATCGCATTATTTCCGTACGAAAAGGAATTGCCAAGTTGGTTCAACGAGAACGAAATAACATCCTTGTAGCAACTACCTAAAAAAAACAAAGCATAACGTAACAAAAGAAAAAAGAAGTCACACTGGAATTGAAATAAATCGTCTTAATTTTCAAAAATATGACAAGACGTTACAAGAACATGTCAACTTGCTAACATTTGCAATGCAATGAATGCAACGAATGGCGTTCATACACGTATTCTTAATTGTATTGAAGAGTCTTTCCTCAATAATATGAACATTACGTATCAAATACAAGTTTAACAACCTCTAAGCAACTACAAGCCCTTAAAGCCATAAACCCTTGTATGTTGTATTAACTGATGTTTGTGCTTTCAGTCCCGAGACTATTAAAGCTTCATCGGACGCAGAACCGGTGGGCTAGCCAGAACCCACAGGTTTGGGCCCTCCGCTGTGGGTAGGGCTGGGACCCACTACTGAGAACAATCCAAGCCCGTAAATTTCTTAATTTGATCTTTTACTAACTGCAATCAAAATATTAGAAAAAAAAGAAGGCGGCTGGAATAAAGCTACAGAACACAAAGCAATGCCGTGTTGACCTATACGCATTTACCAGTATGTAAGTAAGTGTTTATCAATAACGCTATTTAAGCTTTTAAATGGTGTATAAATTATTAAATTTGGTGATGAATTATGGAAGTTATGGCGTATTGACACAAAAACACCTTTCAGAAATAATTCGAACTCTATCGAACTCTATCAATATATTCAAGAAATAAGTCAGCTACATGCGGCTTCAAAGCGTTCTATTGTAGTTTGTGTTGACACAATATGACATGATACTCTAAATTTTAGGAAAGGCTCTTATAATTATTAATATTCCCTTTCATGCACGTTTCTCATGTTCATCAATATGCTCTAGGTTATAAGCATACGCGTGCCTTTTATTTAATAACCATTTTCATTGAATTAAATAAAAAGAAAAAAATTTGTAACATCCTATACAAGTTTACAATGTTACAAGCCTCTTCTTCTAACATGGTTTTGTCTATATTCCCAATATTACTTTTGAATTGTACGTTATAGTTTTATACGTAAGGGTATAAAGTAAATATGTAACGTAAGTAAAAAATGAAAGTATTTCTCATCATTTCATCAAAATAGCTAGTGTAATATAGAGTAAAAAACTAATAAAATGAGCAACTTTGGTTTAACAGATAGGGTCGAGTGAAAATGATTTTGGTCATAAAATAATACGAGTACACTAAATCACTAATGCGGTTTGGTAATGTGAGGTACAGCATCCCCTATGTTCACACGTATGGGCCCTGCACGATAATATAAGTCACACGAAATTTACAGAAAATTTAATGTCAGCTGTAAAATTATGTCATCATAGGAAACGAAAAAAACATCATAAACTCCTATATAATGAACAAATATCAAGTCAATCTATCATCTAGTTTTTTAATTTTGTGGACACAAACATGCGGAAGTCATATTTTTGTGGTTATCACCCATGATTACGATTAGCCAAAAACAAATCATAGTCAATAATAATCGTACGCGTACCCCACCTAAAAGAATATTCCTACGTTCATTTGCCCACTAAGTTTCGAGTGCACTTGGTTTCAATCGATACCTGCTGACCATTATTCAACGACTGCAAAGTACCATCACTAAAACAATAGATTTAATTATAAGCAATTAAAACTTTAATCAAGAGTATTTATTTTTGCCAAGTAATATTCTGTTGATCTTATAATATTTATAATTTAATAATTTAAGTAAAGTAAGTATTAAAAACCGACAAAGTAGCTGTATAACCTTCCGGAAAAATAAGTAAATTTAAAATCTCACACTGATGACAGTTTTGCTTATAGAGTGAGCTTCTGCTCTAAGACAACTAAAGTTCTTCAGATAAGTAGCACCAAATTCTTAAGACTAAAACATTTTTTAATTATAAAAGTAATAGATTTTTAATAAACAAAATTATTAAAAGGTTTTGTTATTTTTATAATTTATTTACTTTTGCCTAAATAAAATGTTTAAATTATTAATAATCAATTATCAACAATCAAAAATATTTAACATTTATTTTGCTGTCCGTAAAGTTAATAGCAGTACAAATAAACTTTCTATTGTGTCTTGCTTTGTTGGAATGATTTATCAATAATGGACCGTGGGACACTAAAGATGTGCTGCTGTAGATAATGCTGTAGTTTATATCGAAGTTAGAGTGAAATGGTGTACAGCGCTTTTTTTTTATAAGATAAATTATTGAAAGTTTTCATAAAATGGCCTCTTTAGAATCAAAAGACGTAACGTACGAATATGGCTGACGATGACATGACGTCCTATTTTCTCTAAAACTCTAAGGGTTCAAACTTCTCAAAAAGCTTTGAGTCTTAAATGTTTAGGTTCCTTTAATTTTTTTATAAACGAAAACAAAATACGGTACTAACTGTGTATAGTGTTAGAAATAGTGTTGTTTTTCATGTTTTTTTAAATATTCTATTCAAAACTGATAACAGGTAACACAATACATTAAAATCGTTTGGCTGGTGTCATACTGAAAGATTAATTATAATTTATCAGTCTTTAGTAAATAGCATCGATACTTTGTGAAATAAAACTGTACGCATCACTATTGAGTGTTATTTAAGCGAAAGTCCATCTCAACGCTTCATACAGGAGGTGGGTAAACTATGGTCCTCACGAAACAAACAGAACTATTTAAATAGATATTCAAGGTGAAGATATCTAACATTTTATTGTTTTCCATAAAAAATATGTTGCACATATATCATATTTTACACGGACTAAATGGTGTTAGATGTGTATACTAATGATCCATCTCATCAATGATTTACTCTAAAACACTTTATTAATAATCAGACAATGGTAGAATGTTTCTTATTGTTGTTCACGATCCCTGAGGCCCCGTTTCCGGTACGGAAACACCATTTATATATTAAGGACCATAACGAAGTGTACCCTCGCCTCGGTGACTCCGTCCCCGATGGGGATCTGTTCTCGCTCGACCCATCTCAGCAGCCTCCTTCTTGACCATCGCGGTCTCGCAGAAAGAGGTTACGGCCCTCCACGCTACATCTCCATTCAGCATCGCCGACATGACAGCTGACAAAGAGAGGTTTCGTCCAATAATGATGTCGCCGTCAGCTCGCGACCAATTTTACACAGATAATCACCAAAGCATCCGTGCCCAGTGGTTATCTGTATAAGTCTGTAGGTGAGTCTACCTTGTCGTCACTGCATCCAGGCTTCGAAGACTGGCAGGATGGCTTCAATAACGCGTTTATGTGCGTTCTGTTTCTGACTGAGCCAAACGCACCAGACTAGGAAAGCAGTGTGCCGTTCCTGCCACTTGATGGACTTGAGCGCCTCTTCTGGCTCGCTATCACCGCTCTGACGTAGGGCGTGAATCCGGTGGTACACCCTCGCGTCCATTTCCGCTAGTATGTCAAAATAAAATATACCTACACACATGAAAAAGGTTTCACAGTTCGTACGTACTTTAGTTTTCTAACTGTTAACAATCTTTATTGATCTAATATTTACAAGATTAAATCTATCTAAAATTACATATTATCGCGAGAAAAGAACCAGCTCTCTTGTCACCAGCCGCGGCGTTAAGCCTAGGACATAAACTTTTAAAAAAATTTGATGTGCGGGGACCCCACGGACCTAATGTTTCAACAGCAAATGGCACAAATATATAATCTGAACATAAAGACTCATATTTGCGCCATTTACTTACTTCAGCTGCCTCCGATGCCGCCCCGGCCCTGACCGAAGTACTCCTTAGATGAGAGGCAGCCAAAGTGTCTACACAAGTGGCGTCCCAAACAAGGGCTTTGCCTCTCTCCCAAGGGATCAATGTTAAACCGTCGGGTCTCTTACCATCGTCGCGTAAAAATGCCACAGGGCTCTAAAATAGATGGAACATTGATGGAAACAAGAGCCCTACGGATGATGTCGTTCAGGGAACCGTGGCGAGAAAAACGGCCAGCACTTTTTTGACAAGAAAGCCCGTGGAGACCAAATTTGTCTACACTGACACCACAAGGGCATTGGTGTGGTTGACAAATCGGTGCCCCCAGACGGATTCCTACAGCAATGCGTAAGCTTTCATCGTCAAGTAATGTGCCCAAGTTACTTGATGGTAAAGCGTGAAGCCAATAACTCGATTCTTTAGATGAGACTCCTAGGAAACGGGCACGCTCTAAATTACTTTCTAAAGATTGAAACGTATCTCTCTGTACTCTCCGCACCAAAGGAACATCCCACTGTTTTTGTAGGTTTATTTCCAGTGGGATATTTTCGTTGGGACAGATAGACAGCCAAGACATCCTTGCCTCCTCTGCATAGGAAAGTTCTGAATCGTGATTAAGAATGTTATTACATAAACTATTTACGCTATGCACGGAAGCAAGGAAGGCAGGTAGAGCGACACTAGAAATTTTCCTTACACCGATACCACCAAAACGAATTGGCAGCGTAGCTTGAGTCCAGCTTAATTCATTAAGAGATAAATTTAGAATTTTTTCTAGAGCTGATTTAAGATGGAAATCAATTTCGTTCAAAAAGTCACCGCATTTCCAAACTGGACTCGAGCGAAGGAGGTACGTAAATTTAGGTACAAGAATACAATGTCGCAAAATAGTAAGCGCAATATGCGAATTTAGTAAAAACAATTTATTGACATGATCTAAAAATTGACTTAACTTTAATTTTAAATGAGGTTCCAAACTTGGTATCAACAAAGGAGCACCTAAGAGGTAAAGTGAATCTGAACGGACTACGTTAATTCCCGGTATGATAGAGCTAAAATTTTGGGTCAAAATGATTTTGTCGGAAAAAGAAATCTTTTCGGAAAAGAAAAGTTCGCATTTGGAATTATTTAAATCGAGACCGATATTTATTAAATTGTCTAATAATTTCAATAAGATCACTTTGTACATCGTCAACTTTACCTCCCAGAGTACCATCGTCTAGGTACCAGACATTAAGTTTAGATTTCAATTTTGAAATAATTGGATTAATTCCCAAACTAAATAATGCTGGTCCTAGCGGATCTCCCTGCTGAACGCCGACAGCAGAATCAATAATATGGTTTTCATAAAATAAATTACTCTTTTCACTGTAACATTGCCAAACATAGTGATATATTTCTGGTGTATGGTTAGCCACTTCGTTCAGCAGAGTCGTTCTATCAATGGAGTTAAAAGCATTCCTTAGGTCAACCTTCAGAAGTACATCCAAATCACTAGTATTTAAAGAAGTTCGAACGGAATGTACAGCCGCTTCACAGCCCGCCTTTGCTTCCAAAGCCTAGTTGAAAAGGCTGGAATTTTCTTTTAAGGCCGGAGATTATGTGCCTACATGCTAATTTTGAAGTTAAGCGTCGAAAGGTAGAACCAATAGCAATAGGACGGATACCATTATCTTTTTTTTTAAAGGCACATAATCTTGCCCCGTATAAGAAAGGAACAAATTTAGGATTTACTTTTCCGGAAAGCATTAAGTTGCATAATTTGGTAATATCATTAAGAAGCGCTCTGCCAGCATCACCGGCGGAAACGCTTACAAGATCTTTCAGATGTTGTGGCGTTATACCGTCAATGCCGCCAGCAGAGCCACTTGAAAATGACATAATTGCCTTGAAAGTGTCTTTATCGGTAATTTGCAAAGCCTGATATGAAGAATCGGGAGGCAGCGGTAGGAGCGGCGGAAGATTGATCAATGGATGCTTTTGTCGGAGGTTTTCTAGAGTCTCATCATTATACGGAGCAAGGATGTCGTCTGAAAATAAAATGCGCGATGCATTTTTTAAATCACCATCCATAACTTTAGTCTCTACAGTTCTCTTTAAATCGAATTTACGGGGGGGTTTAGTTATGGATGAGGCAGTCTTTAATTCAAGATTTTTGGATGAATTGCTCTTTAACTGAGAAGTAATTGATTTTGATACCGATTTATCAAAGTGAAAATGGGAATACGCAAAGGTAAATAAATTATGCCAACTAGATTCAGTATTTGAGAAACAATTTTGAATACAGGTTGATAATGACTTGGCAAGCTGCATCCTTGCACCTCTTGGAATCCTTTTGAGTATTGGTACATTGCTATGGTAATAATAGATCTGTTCCGAAAACAACTTTAAATTTTTGTCATTATAAACGCTAATAGTCTTGTTACAAAATGCGGTAGGCTGTGAAGCTGCAACAGGGTGACTATGACAACGTTTGATGTGAATATTTAAGCCTCTTTTACCTTTAAAAAGCCTACCGTCGGAACAATTTTGACATGGTAGGAAATCCGTTTGAGAGCATGTACGTACATCGTTATTCATAATATTAAAAATCACCCTTGAGAAATTAAAATAAGGTCACTAAAAGTCACTAAAAGGCACGACGAGGAAGCCTCGCGACGACCACCATTGGCTCTTAATACGGCAGCGAGGCGTGGACGTGGAAGCTGAAAACAAATACAAATACATATCTGGGGCAACAAATTAGGTTAAAATATAATATTAGAATTATTACAGTACTCCCCAGGTTTTATTCATAATCCAAGACAACATATTTTCAAGCATTTGACAGCTGACGTTTATTCAACGCTTCATTTCAATGACATATAATTTTTTTAATTTTTTTAATTTTTCTTATATAATTTTTTTTCATAGACAACTAAAGCCAACATTCGGCTATCGCATAAAATAATATTTTATTGTATTCAAAGGGCTTTATGGAACCCTTTTGGATGTCATTAGACAGCGGAATGGGTGACAACTAATGGTCCAAAGCCGAAAAGTAACACTACAAATATATCGCTTCCAGGCAATGACCTCTACCATAAATTAGAACTTGAGACATAAAAAGAAATGGACTCAATAATATTTTCTAAGAATAAATATTGTGCTCAAAGTACAGACTCTATTGTTTACGTCTGCTAACATGAGATTGCATTGCAACGATATGCTGTATGATCTTTTTCTCGTATGTGCGTTTTGTTAAGCTCCTAGTGACGGTATGAAAAACATTAAACACTAAATCAAAACCACCTTGAAGGTTGGCGGTCCACCACTGTGTGTTTTTCACGTAATTTATACTTAATCATTAATATTTGAAAACAAGTCCTTTTTTATTAACGGAAAACAAACCCTACTTCAAATATCTCGCTCTGATTATTCCTATAATTGATTTTCAGGAGTTCCCTAAGTATCTTCGGAGCCCATGATCCAATACCAATGAAATAAATATGGGGCCACATGGGAAGCACCAGCTTTCAAATAAAAAAAAATCACCAAAATCGGTTCACTCGGTCGAAAGTTTTGAGGTAACAAACATTAAAAAAAAATATAGTCGATTTGAGAACCACCTCCTTTTTTGAAGTCGGTGGAAAAGTAACTAAGAAGTAACTATTCATCTACGGAAGTTAAAAATAATGTTAAATGTTCAACTTCCTTACATGAATTGTTATATTTTTGCATATGTTTTGACATATTAAAGAAGTTTTTTTAATGCTTATTTAGTTATTCTGTACTACTTATTACTGTTAATACTACTGATTACAACTTATTATATATGTTTTTATATCTAAGGCGCTTTATATCAAGGGCTATTTCAGATAATATTTATAACTGAGTTTGTACTTGTAGTTTGTACGTTGAACGTTTAATTGCTCTAGTTAACACTGCGTGAAGCATGAAATGAATTCAGAAGAAGAGTTAATTAATTTACCGTTCCCATGATATTAACTTAATTAGCGATCAATATTCCACTAGCACCACGCGCAAGTCTATTCACCTACTTTGACTTTGAACCGCAACTTTTCGATAAAACGCGTTGCACTCTAGATTAAAGGCCCATTTACATGGTGCCAGTTTCTTGCCTGTTGTATACAATTAAATTGAAGCAATAAATGAGTTGCATGATCTAAACAACAAATGGTCTAAACAATTATTGCGCGCAATTTATTGCATTCAATTATTGCTCTTGTATGTACAAGAAAATGGCATCGTGTAAATGGGCCTTAACAATAGCTCGGCAGTAAAAATAATGATGACTTAGTTGTCGAGAAAAAAATGTTTTATGTGAATCTTATAAATAATTAAAAAATCATATTGATAATTTATTACACATATTAGTACGTAAAGATTTTATATCAATACATAATTTAGCAATATTACAGAATAGAAAATATATAACATAGCACAAATTATTTATAAATATTGACTAATAGGATAAATTACCTTTTTAATGTCGCAAGTTTTTGTAGTTGTCTTTTAAAAGAAATGAACTGTCTGTCTCGTTCTGATATAAGTCCATCTCTCACAATTTCTCATTTCACCGTTCACTTGTTTAGCAAGTTGTTATTAACTGTGACCGAGTCCTATCGCGAACGGAATATTTGGTTTTGTAGACTTTGTGCTAAGATAATAAAGG